GGTCTCCCATCACAGTATTAACCAGGCCCTCCCCTGCTTAGCTTCAGAGGTCGGACAAGGATCTGGCTTTCATTTGCAGGTAGTGCCAATAACTCCATGTGTAAATTGAAATACATAAAAAAAACCTTTATGTTTGTAAATGACAAACACAACTGCAACATCTATATTTGTCTTTTACGGGGATCAATAAACACAGTGGCGCAGTGGTTAACGCAAGGTCCTGGGTTCAATTCCACCTCTAGCCATTTCTGTGTGGAGTTTGCATGTTCTCCCCGTATCTACATAGGTGTTTTGTGACTCTGGTCTGTGAAAGGCCCTATATAAATAAAACATTAATGATTATAACATAGCCAAAACCTTAGAAAAGTACATTTTTAGTTTAAGTTCCCATTAAGCAATTACTTTTCCTTAACTCTAAACTTAGACCCTGATAATCGCACGGTGAAAACCTCATACCATCTCGACACAGTTTAATATCACTCAAAGCATTTCCCAGACTGCTCTTTGTTTGACTTCACTTCAAACCAGCGATGAGAGAATGTTTTTAGCTCCGTCCTGGCTTCAGCTGAGCCTCCGACACAAACCAGAGGCCCCTGAAGTCTCTCCTCTAAAAACACTGCAGTGACGATCTCCCGTGGCCTGAGGAGAGAAGCGACCACGGGGCCTTGGCTCCCGTCTCCATCGCGGTGCCACATTCCTGCAGCCTCACGTCATCCTAAAAAGTCCTGTTTATCAGCCGAGGGTCAACGGGTTCAGCCAAATTTGTTTCCACTTAAGATAATAATTTACGAGACGAGCCGCCTTCCCCTCCCCCTTGAAATCCTACCGTGTCATGGCTTCCTCATGTTGACTGAGGGACGAGCCAGTAATTAGTATAGCACACGTTCTGGTCTGTGACAAAGGCAGAGCTAGCGAGCGAGATTAGTGCACGTTATGGATGTAATGTGTCACTTTGTCCCGGTTTAGGACCTTCAATAAATTCTTCTTGACGCTCTTTCTAGACGTTGGAACTGGAATAATCCTGTGTGTTTGACTTGGCTCGATGCAGATGATGTGGGAAATGTAAAAAAAAGCTATATTTCAACTGTGCAGGCGCCTTTCTGTATAAAGACAGCTAAAGTGGCTTCCCTCTGGTGTGCAGAGTCTGCCCAGAACATGTGTTGGAATAAAAGCAAATGTCTAATCTCATTGAAGCGTCCGACAAAGATCCACTACAACTATTCTATTATTTTCTAAAGACCAAGTTTTTATTTATTAGTATTTTTATTTTTTAAACCTGACTCCTGTATCCCACACTACAAGAGTCCTTTTGTTGTATACAGTGTATCAGAAGATCAAATGCTACTTGTTTGACACAAAATATAAATGTTAAAAAGTGAAATGTGCAAGTATGAACTGTGTGATGTTAAAATATTGTTCCGTATGAAATTCCACAAAACACATGATACAATAATTCTCCAAAATAGTTTCGTAAAATAATGGCATTTGGACATGGGGCCAAACTTACTGGAGGGCCAGAGAGTGAGAAAACATTTGAACTACTTTAATCGGCAGCAGTTTTGTCTGGTAATGTAGGTAAATGTCTGCTTTTTGTGACTCTAATTTATTGTATTTGAATTAGGGCTGTCAAACGATTACATTTTTTTAGTTGATTAATCGCATAGTAATGGTGAGTTAACTCACAATTAATCGAATGTTTAACATTCCATTTCAAATCCACTCCAATTGAAGTTAAATGAGATTATCAAATATAATTACCAGTATTGGGTAAATTACTTTGAAAAAGTAATTAGTTATAGTTACTTGGTACTTCTTCCAAAAAGTAACTTACTCCACTATAAAAGTAACTAGTTACCAGTAAAAGTAACTATTGCGTGGTACCGAGCTTCAGCTGGCTGTAATTTAGGATAACTTCTAAGTAGATTAATTGCTGCAACAACCCCACCCTATTTTAGTATGATATGTTAGTTTAGGGAACTGTCCTGCAGGCAAACAGGTATAAGACAGGCCAAGGTGCCATTTAATTAAATTGCATTTATTTTTATCCATTGATCAAACAAACAGATTACAAAACTTGCAATTGAAAGAGACTATTTTAAAATAATTAGTTCCCAAACACACACGAGCAACACTCGCGCCTGACAGTCAAGAACCAGGGAAAATACAGTACGCAGAATGTGCCTGACAGTCAAGAACCAGGGAGAATACAGTGCGCGGAGCGCTGAGTATGTGAACGGAGCAATCGCTTGCTGCTGTTATTATAATAGCTAGATCCATGCTTGCAGCCCGTGCAAAGCTTGCACTCACTCACAGCCGCTAACAACAACCAGAGCGGCCACGGAGAAGGCCATCTCACACGCAGCATTCTGAGTGATATTCTTATGGATAAATGGGCGGGTCATTCGGACATGCGTTAATGCGTTTAAAAATAAATAACGCGTTAATAAAAACTGTAATTAACGTGAGTTAACGCGATAATTTTGACAGCCCTAATTTGAATAATTGAATTTTTGAGCCGGGAACTCACCATTCCACGTGAGAAGGTTTTGTCTGTTTTAAGGTTCTGTGTCCTGAATGATCCAGGTTTTTTTTGCTTCAATTAATGGGCAGACCATAATAAATGTGACTCTTCTCTATTGTAACTCGATTTTATACTTATTCCTTAGAAGTGCTTTTTGTTTTTTAATTCTTATTATGCCTTCTCTACCCTTACCTCTCTTTCTGACTGTTGCACCGAGCCAAAGCAATTTCCAAGTCTGTGTCTTCCGGTTACTTACGTGGCAATGAGAATGAGAATGATTCTGATTTTTCCCCTCAATTATTGTAATGCCTTTGAATAATCTGAGGGACACAATATTTCGCAGAATCGAATCACAATACTGTCTGTATCGCAATGTGTTAAGAATTGCGATAAAATTGAATCATGGCCCAAATTTCGCGGTACTACTTTTGCCAATTCCCAGCCCTATTTAATTGAGGTTGGTTTTGAACCTCAAATGGGACCTCTGTAATGTTTTCTTGTGTCGTGAAAGATAGAAATTGTTTTATAAATAAGCTTCTGCCAACGCTCCACGTGGTCTAAACACACGTAGCATCTAAAGCTAGCTTCAGAATCAAGATAGGTTAAACGGCGAACGAGCAGCGGAGTCGCAACTTCGGACACATTTTTCCCAATTTAAAAACATCTCAACGCCCTTTTCCATGCATATGTTTAAGAGGAATCGTCGTAAAAATTGTATGTGCAGGTTTGAAATAAATCTTCTTCAAACTGCTCTGGACATGTGAACAAGAAGCCAACATTTCTGAAGTTCCAAGCCGTGCCTGACAATACCACTGCGTTTGTGATGTTTACTGACGACCAACTCAACAAAAGCAGCCCACAGGAGCAGTGCGTAAACTTTTTGGTCCAACTTTCCCATGATCTGAACAGCAGCTCAGGAACAATCCTCTGGTGATTGTAGCTTTGTAGGAATGTGGAATGTAACAATGTTAGCCCGTGGGATGAGTCACCTCCGCACACTGAGCGCGCTCTGTTCGCCTCAGGTCGGCTGTAGGTGCCCCGCGGTCACACCACGCTGACAGGAGCCGTTACCGGAACTGCCGCTGCTGAGCCGACGCTAAAATCACGACGGATCCACTGCATTGGCTTCGTGATTCTATCGTTTCTATGCAAGATATTTTGTAGCTGCGGTTGTGGTTATAAATAAGGCTGTGACAAATATCCAAAAAGGTGTGCAAGGGTTAGGGTTAGGATTATGGAGTTAAAATACACCATGATGTAGACCTTTATCTGTAGTAATTTGAGGTTGTCTGGAAATGTAAGGTGTTAGAAGTAGTAGTGTGTGTTAATAACAGCAGAAAGGGCTGATAAAAAGAGTTAAAAGGCCATCGATAAAGGAGAGAGTAAGGACAAAGTACCGAGTCAGATAATGTGTCTGTACTTTTACTTTTGTCCTATAAGATCTTTCTTATAGGACCGTTCTTACTGGACTATAAACTGCTACTTTTTTCTTCGATTAGATTATTATAGATATTTGATTATTGATGATGTAGTGAAAACGGCCACTGTACGCATTATTAATTTTGTTATAGTTTCTCGTTTTTTTTCTATAAATCTTTAAGTAGTACAGGGATGGGAAGCAGATTATTGTCAAAATATATTATTCAGATTATACCCAGATCTGGTGTGTGCCGTCTGGTGCACACTGGGGCAGTCTTGCACAGTTTTTCCATGTGGTTTTACTGCAAATGGCAAATAAATAAATTGAATCAATAGTGATTTAATATTGCATTAATACATCTATTCCCTTTGTTTTGCTCCATCAGTTGTGGGTTAAGTTTTATGAAAAAACCTGCAGCTTATATTCAAGTGCGGCTTATATGTGGAAAAAAAATACTTTGTTTAGATTTAGCTGGTGGTTTATATACAGGGGGTTAATAGCCCAGAAATAACTGTATACTAGTATGTTTTTATTTATTTTAAAAAGATGAAACAAATATTGAATTGCAACTTTAAAAGCATGAAAACACCATAATTACATCAATATTAATTGTTTACACCCAAAATCCAGACTTGTTAAGATCCGATGATTATTATACACTATTTTGATGTATGGATTGATACTGTAATACATTAAAGTGTTAAACTGGGTGCAATGAGCCACAAGTGAAAAATACTAATAAATTATTAAAAAGAATAAATAGCTGAAGCCCTGAAGATAAAGATTGGTGTCCAAATAAAAAAGGCACATCGTAAACTCAAAAAAACCATTGAAACCAGAGCAAAAAGATCAAATCATGTACAACAGTTTTTAACCACGAACGTAAAACCTGGCAACAAAATTCAAGCCAAAATCGATCCAGTCTCAGCCTTCACACCGACCCAATGGATTTATATTCATGTAACGACAAAGGCTAAAACAGTGCAGTCCCGGGTCATATCTCCAGCGTGAGCCTGTGTCAACAATGAGTGAGTTAATGTTTGTGAGAGAGTGGCTTACCCAGCAGCTCCTCGGGGTCTTTGACCACGATGTGTGCGTTCAGCTCCTGCAGCTCCTGGTGAAGCTCCTCCACCTTTTTGTTGGACTTTTTCAGCATGTTGTCCACGTACGCCAGGCTCTTCTTGTCTGTGGTGACCTGAGAGAAAGCCCAGGATATTCAGGATCAATACCAGGGCAGCCCATTCTAGGGTTGCCACCATTTCACATTTTTGAGTCACGATTATTGTGAGAGAAATTATTGCGGTTTTACGATTTATCATTATTATTGACATTATGAAAGAAAGTCAATTCAGATTGTTTTTTTGCTGGAATTATTATATTATTATTTAATTGTAAAAATTTAATTCAGGAATGTATATAGCCTAATTGTTTTATAGTAGTAGTAGTAGTAGCCATCTTCATAGTTGTAGTTTAGGTGTCATGTCTGAATTTGTTTAGTTGACTAAGTGCGTACTGCCCCTTTAAGAGCGTCTCCCCCACACGTGAGAGTGTTTTCACCGGTAACTTTCACTTTTTTTAGAATCATCTGCATTAATGTGCACACTGGGACAGTTTGTGCTAATTTCTGAACATTTGGACAACTTTATTGACAATGATGCAGTTGTTTCCCGTGACTTGGACAAACAGCAAAGGAGGATTACCTGAAGATGTTGTATCATGTTTGAAGTATTGGCAACAACACCTTGCTCATATCTTAGATTTCCAAAGTGATCTCACACTGCTGACTTAAGTTATGGTGGATACAACTCTGGGGGAGCTTGTCCTGTCATCTTACATTTACCGGTGAGTCTGCTCCGTGTGCCACGGCCCGAACCTAACGTCGCACTCGCGGGAGGGTTTTCCGGACCAGCGGTAAACCGTGCCATCTAAAATCCCTAGGGTTAACCCACTGCAGGATTTTATAATTAAGATTACCGCAAAACCTGTTAATCTCGGCAACCCTAATTCTAACTAACGTATTTTAAAGCTGGGGTGGCAAACTTTCAAACGAAAATAAACAGGGATTTCAACAATGCTTGAATTAATATTTACGGTTGAGGTGAAATCTGTGTTCACAGGGCTGGACTGGGACAAAAAAACGGCCCGGGCATTTTTTCCTTTTTAGCGGCCCAGGCTACTCAAAAGGTTCAATTAGCCATATTTGACAAAAAAACAAAACAAAAAACAGCGTTGTATAAGGCTTATATGAAGGTAACAGGGGCTGAAGCTGTATTAGCTACATTAGCTACCTTAGCTATATTAGCTATATTAGCCTAATATCTAAATGACAAAGTAAAGGCTACAAACACATAAAAACCATTCATGATTATCAAATGTGTGTTTTCACTGCAGCGTGTCCTGGAGAGAATGACGCACCACGTGACAACTCTGCTTTAAGTTTAACTTCCATTTTTTTGCTTTCATGCAATTGTACAAATACAGTAAATAAATCTGCTTTTTGGCTCCGAGTTCACCTGCATCACTGTCTGTTCATATCCATCACTGTCTGTTCATATCGATCACATCACAGGCTGAAGTTTGCTGGAGCTGAATGTCCTTAATGGCCTTTTCTTTCACCGTCTTTGCGAAGGTTTTTGAAGTCTGAAAATAGGTGCTCTGACTTTATGATGAATTAATCTTTCAGTGAACAGTGTTTAAAGCTTCATTGTTCCTCGTGTTGCAACAAAACTTTTCATTACATCGCAAACATGAAGCAGTCCTTCCTCATTGACTGAAAGCAAATGTTCATTCTCATTCTCAGTCCAGTCTTATCGACTCTCTCTCTTTATCTTTGAGATCCATGCGCACACACAGTCTATAATGCACACGCTGGTTTGTTTACAGCAGCGGCCGTCTGCCGCGGGGCCGCGTCACAGGATATGACGCACTACGTTGACAGAAATGCTAAAATTGAACATTACTTATACAAGTTTTTGCAGCATTGAAAAACGTTAAGAATGTTTTTCCTCCTACAGAAACCACATTGAAACTAGAAATAAAATATAGCCCTCACACTCCATTTTCAGATATTTTTGAAAAGGCTCCAGAAGCCACTTTAGGGGCACTAAAGGTTGCCGACCCCTGGTTTATACAGTATGTGGAAGCAAATACTGTAGAGGATCAGGATGTCTGCAGTTTCAACAATAAAATAAAGTACAATAGTTTACATTAAACAGAGTAATAAACATGTCTCAGAGTGAGGGAGGTGACACAGACAATACTATTGTTTGTTACAAGGATGAGAATTGCTCAAAAATGTCTGAAATGCATATTGTCAGCCATTTGCTGGCTCTAAATCTGTTTAATCTGTTCACAACATTTTACTTTTGGGCTCAAACATGAACTTTTAATGCAATGGAAAATTTAGGTACCCGAGCTTTAATTTAGTCGCACTTCGAGAGGAGAGGGGAGACGCGGACTGTTTCCTGCAGCGGTGTATTTATTGGGTGCACAAATTACGCAAAGACACGCATGGTCCTGTGCGCGTTTATGGTCTTGGGTCACGTTGCGGCTACGCGCTCACCGTGTTGTGTTGTGAGCGGTTCCCGCGTCCAGCTCAGAGCCGCTGGATGCGGGAACACTGCGGCCGCTGAGGTGGTGGAATCCCGTTCGAGTACATACAGCAGGTGCCCCGCGGACACGCGCGCCCCCTCAAACAGTTCTCAATGGATTTACACTTTTCACAAACATTTTTTTTGTATGAGGCAGACAGACCGGCCCAAATATGGGCATCGGCCCTTCGGGCATTGCCCGGTACGCCCGATGGCCAGTCCAGCCCTGTGTGTTCAGTTGTGTCTTGTTATGGATTGAGAATGTTTTTTATACTGTATGTTTGAAATGATTGAATTTGAATTGATTCTGTGTAGAGTGGACCCCAGGAAGACTAGCGACCACTTATGGAAAGCGAATCGGGATCAAAATAAATAAATAGATAAACAAATGTAATATAATTATTCTATCGCGTACCTTGCGCTCAAAAGAGTTTGGTTCTATCTCGGGATGCACCGATACACCGTACTCACATCATAGGACCTGATGCCGGCAACTGATACACACATTTTTAATTTACAGATGTCAAGACAGCAGACATCTGTGCGGCACGTGTTGCCATGGTGATCTCCCCAAGTCAGCAGCGGGAATGCAAGCTAGTGGCAAGCAGGCTAGCGGCACGCGGACAAGATGGCGGCCGTATGGCAGATTTGTAAAGTAAACGAGAGTGACAAGAGTAAAGCGGACTGTACGTTGTTGTGGAAGACAAAACTGGCACGAGGTGTGTCCAAAACAAACACGTATAACTCCATTAACTTGATCAAACATACGAAAACTCACCACCGCGCAGAGTATAGCACCTTTGCTAGCTCCCAACTGTACAACATAGCATTTGTATAATAAACATATAAACTTGATGTCAACAATATTAATGTTAAAGGCACTATACCCGTTTCTGCAATGTTTGATTGTTTAGCACCGCCCCCCAACTCGCTCACAGGCTTCTCATTTCCCCTACGCTCTCATAACACGGAGCCACCTAGTTTTATTTGCGATCTGATACGTATGCTAACATTAGCATTAGCGCAACTTGTAAGCTGTGCAACAATCACTGATGAAATGGTACTAAAGCAATGCACTGCTAACACAATATATAAGTAAAAGAACACCATTAGTTTCGCGTCCAGATGTATAAATTTAAACATTATAATATATTCTAATATTTAATTATAATTTATTATACAGCTCCTCACAGCAGCAGTAGAACACTCCATTGACTTGAATGCAATTCTTCCGATAATTTTTTCTTGATAACAGAACTCTCAAACCAATAATGACCGCAGCCCCAATGCAATCTCTGTTTGTAATTCAGGTGTGTAAAATACTGCCATTACTTTGCAAGTACAACAAGCTAAAGTATCAGCGCCTGTCACTACATTGTGCAGTTTATTTTCTCAATAAACAAATACATATCAATCAATCAACACCATTAAACGTCAATCGGACAATACAGTATACATATACATCCTTAACACACATGCACGGACGATTTCAGAATTTGCTGTCAACGTTTTCATGACAAAAATACTGTTTTAAAGTGACAAAAAACGGTCGCGAAAAACCCGGAAGTTACCATGAAACTGCTAACTAGCTTAGCTGTTACCTGCCTAGCACGTCCCGGTGAAACCTTTGGGAGCTAACTTTTATTTGCAGTCATTAAATACATTTCGAATTATAAGGGTTGTCTAATATTTGTTCAAATATGTATATATTTTTTATTTTAGAATTATATTCGAATTTTGAAGTCGAAGCCCTGGTGTTTAGCAGCGCTGTAGAGGCTAGAGGACACAGGCTGTAGAGACTAGAGGACACAGGCTGTAGAGGCTAGAGGACACAGGCTGTAGAGACTAGAGGACACAGGCTGTAGAGGCTAGAGGACGCAGGCTGTAGAGGCTAGAGGACACAGGCTGTAGAGGCTAGAGGACGCAGGCTGTAGAGGCTAGAGGACACAGGCTGTAGAGGCTAGAGGACGCAGGCTGTAGAGGCTAGAGGACACAGGCTGTAGAGACTAGAGGACGCAGGCTGTAGAGGCTAGAGGACGCAGGCTGTAGAGGCTAGAGGACACAGGCTGTAGAGGCTAGAGGACGCAGGCTGTAGAGGCTAGAGGACACAGGCTGTAGAGGCTAGAGGACACAGGCTGTAGAGGCTAGAGGACACAGGCTGTAGAGACTAGAGGACGCAGGCTGTAGAGGCTAGAGGACACAGGCTGTAGAGGCTAGAGGACACAGGCTGTAGAGACTAGAGGACACAGGCTGTAGAGGCTAGAGGACACAGGCTGTAGAGGCTAGAGGACACAGGCTGTAGAGACTAGAGGACACAGGCTGTAGAGGCTAGAGGACACAGGCTGTAGAGGCTAGAGGACGCAGGCTGTAGAGGCTAGAGGACACAGGCTGTAGAGGCTAGAGGACACAGGCTGTAGAGACTAGAGGACGCAGGCTGTAGAGGCTAGAGGACACAGGCTGTAGAGGCTAGAGGACACAGGCTGTAGAGACTAGAGGACGCAGGCTGTAGAGGCTAGAGGACACAGGCTGTAGAGACTAGAGGACACAGGCTGTAGAGACTAGAGGACACAGGCTGTAGAGGCTAGAGGACACAGGCTGTAGAGGCTAGAGGACACAGGCTGTAGAGACTAGAGGACGCAGGCTGTAGAGACTAGAGGACACAGGCTGTAGAGGCTAGAGGACACAGGCTGTAGAGACTAGAGGACGCAGGCTGTAGAGGCTAGAGGACACAGGCTGTAGAGGCTAGAGGACACAGGCTGTAGAGACTAGAGGACACAGGCTGTAGAGGCTAGAGGACACAGGCTGTAGAGGCTAGAGGACACAGGCTGTAGAGACTAGAGGACGCAGGCTGTAGAGGCTAGAGGACACAGGCTGTAGAGACTAGAGGACGCAGGCTGTAGAGGCTAGAGGACACAGGCTGTAGAGGCTAGAGGACACAGGCTGTAGAGGCTAGAGGACACAGGCTGTAGAGGCTAGAGGACACAGGCTGTAGAGACTAGAGGACGCAGGCTGTAGAGGCTAGAGGACGCAGGCTGTAGGGACTAGAGGACACAGGCTGTAGAGGCTAGAGGACACAGGCTGTAGAGGCTAGAGGACACAGGCTGTAGAGACTAGAGGACACAGGCTGTAGAGACTAGAGGACACAGGCTGTAGAGACTAGAGGACACAGGCTGTAGAGGCTAGAGGACGCAGGCTGTAGAGGCTAGAGGACACAGGCTGTAGAGACTAGAGGACACAGGCTGTAGAGACTAGAGGACACAGGCTGTAGAGGCTAGAGGACACAGGCTGTAGAGACTAGAGGACACAGGCTGTAGAGACTAGAGGACACAGGCTGTAGACACTAGAGGACGCAGGCTGTAGAGGCTAGAGGACGTTCGCTGGTCGTTCTGTGAGTGGAGGAGAACGTCCCGCTCAGACTCTACTCAGCACTTTTCACTGCCTGAATTTCATACATAGTGGAATCAATGACCTCAAGTTTTCAATTAAATTATGTATTATGATACAACTTGTATGTAGTAAAAAACATTTTTATGAACTACTTAGAAAAAAAATTGGGTATAGCTTCTTTAAGTTTTTCAGGAAGATAGTCCAATCAGAGAAGAGTGTCTGCCAGTTTCTTTTCTTTTCTTTAGTGAAATCCAGTATTGGTTTTAATATCTAATATTTAATATCTCTATAACCCACACATTGATTGAAAGCAGATACGAAAATACTGTTTTGGTTAGGGTTTGGTATGCATCTGTAATCAGTGCCTGGGATCTACGTGTGCGTGTGCGTGCGCGCGTGTGTGTGTGTGCATGTGTGCGTGTGTGTGTACCTTTCTCAGGTTCTCTGCCCCCTCTTTGATCTTGAGCTCTTTGCGGATCTCCCGTCGGATCTGCTCCTTGATCTCATCCAGCTTTTGTTGGACCATGGTGTCAGACAGATCCAGGTTATGGCCCAAACCAAGACGCTCGGCCACCAGCTGCCCCCGGGAGTCCCCCTGAAGACGGCAAAACACGGATCAGGAATGCATTCAAAATATCTATGAATATGAAATTATGTTATGAGTTTCCGCCTCACTCAGGTCTTGTTTGTTTACAATGGGAATATTCTGAGGGAGCGCAAGTCCCTTTACAAACACGTCTCTCCTGAATTTAGTAAGCACCATTCCTTCAGATGTGGAGGTGAAAGTACAGTAAGAATTTATTTCAAAACAATAAACAAGATACAGGCTGGACGAAGCAGACGCTAGGAGGGCCTGATCTTTCCAGGACCGTCGCGGTTCGGTACGGTTAGGTCCCAGAGACACCCAGAAATGTGCTTGTTTCTCTGGTCGCTTTGAGTTTGGCCAAGAATAAAAAACGATTTGATTTTAAAATTGAGTTGATAGGACACATTGATTTCATATATCAATAAAAAAACATGTCAAATGTCATTGTCAAGAGACTTTTAGCTAAAGATCTGAACCAGCAGAATTCAATTGACTCCATTAGTTTGGAGTTAGTCAGAAGAAAAGTAATCATTCAGCCAACTTCAGCTGCATACAAGTACATGTTCATGTTGTACCTCATGTAGCTTAAACTAATGTCTAAGTTTACATTACTAATGTCATATTGGTGGTTCTAACAACAAAAACAGGTGTATTCTTTATAATATAAGCCAAACATGATATTTTTGTGAAAGAATTGGACAGACTCTTTTTGGGGGTGAATAGTCACGTTTATCCCGAGAAGATCCTGCTGCGTTCAAATACTAAATCCTGAAATTGGCTGATAAATGTACGTACACGTCTCTGTTTGCACTGATTATAAATTGCTAAAGAGAACACATGAAGCATAATATATGAAGCAAGGCCACAAGTGAAAAAACTAAAATCATTGTAAATTCATAGTGCAGTGTGTAGCTCCGAAACAGCTCTGATTTAATGAATATACTTCTTAAATTGAAATCAAATTAATTTAGAAAAGCAGAAATCTACAATCTTTGCTGAGCCTGTTCTCTCGCCCTTTACCGACTTCTTCCTCTCGAGCACTTGCAGCCACTATCCAATGTTTTCACAAATTGCAATATTTCTCAAAACTACAGCTTAAGTTTGGCTGAGCTTTGCCAAACTCCCAAACTCTGAACCCTGTGCTGTCTGCACTCTCGCTCTCGCTAACCTCCTTTAAAGACGTCACTTTTACTAAAGCGGGATTAGAGGCCACTTCCGGAGTGGATTTAAACTGGCCATCGTGGAGACTCAAGAGCTTAGGCTGCGGAGTCAGTCGGCGCCCCATTCAAGAAAAGCAGTCAGGACCAGAAAGATGGATCAGATACAGCAGGAGTCTCCAACCTTTTTCAATCGGAGAGCTACTCTTATAGAAACTAAGAGGCAGAGAGCTTCTCCATTTTGCAGTCGTAATAAAAATCTATCTAATAATTACTATGAAACATGGAGAACACATACAAAATACACCATAATACTGTATAACCCTATATTTATACTTATAATAGATATGTAAGGGCTCAAAAAGTATTTATTCAAGTGTATTTGTTTAATTCTAATTCCTTTGGCGAGCTACCTGTAAGGGGCTGGCGAGCTACTGGTGGCTCCCGAGCTACAGGTTGGAGACCCCCGAGATACACACAAAAACACAACTGGAAAAACGTTTTTTTACTATGCGTCTAATAAACATAGCTGATTGTTTTAAGCTCCACCCATGCTAATATGAACAGCTATAGCATGGCTCGAGACATCCTCAATGACATTAGTTTTTATTAGGGCTGCACGATATGGGAAATTAGTGCTATATTCGATATGAGTGTTTATTATTGTGATACGGATATTATTGTGGAATTCTTTCACCTAAAATTATAATCTGTATTGAAACGCAAGAGATAAATAACAAAAAATAAGCACAACATTAATGACATTCAAATGCATATATTTATATAATTTTTTGTTTGTTGTTCTTGTTGAATGTTGATGTGTCTGTTTTGTTGTCTTTAATGAAAGAAAAAAAAGAAAAGAAATTTTGATTTTAAAAACTTTTTTTGAATTTTCGATATGGATATCACACGCACCAATATCGCGATTACAATATTTTTTCAATATATCGTGCAGCCCTAGTTTTAATTATCTGTCATTTTATGTAACTAACTTTTGCTGCCTCTTGTCCAGGACTCCCTTAAAAAGAAGTTAAAGACTTTCCTGGTTAAATAATAATTTTTTTTAAACGCATGACACAAATGCATTCCTTCTGGTGCACTACGACCGATCCTCAAGACTACGGCATTAAACAGTTTTAAAGTATTTAGTAATAATAAGTGTTTACAAATTAATTTTGGGAAATTCTCCAGGTTTAATTGGTTCTTAAAGTTCATTTGCACAGTTTTACTCAAAGAACATGTTGTAATTTTCCCAAATATTATCTAATTTAATCCTTTTACATTCAAACATGAAGTGATTTTTTTATTTTATTTAAAGTATCAAAGGGTGAAAATGAAAACAAAGAATGGATATTTGTTCTTAAAATACTTTTTCTTAAAATAATTTTGCGCATTTTATCAAGTTTACAACCACAAACAAAGATTTTAATTTTTTGGGATTTTTATCTAAAAGACCACAACAAAAGGGAACAAGCAACAGAAGGGAAATCAAAATGATGCTTGATTTTGTTTAAATAAAAAACTGAAAGACCAAGAAAAAAAAAACATACAGGGATTAGAAAAAAATGCAAACTATGGAATGAATAAAATAAGTAAGTAAATAAACTTTATTAATACATCACCTTTCACAGACCTGGGTCACAAAGCGCCTCACATAAACAGACATATAAAGGTCAAGGCAACCAAGTAAAATAAATGTGTGCAAAAGACAATGGTAATCACAAAACAATGCCGTCACATCAGTCACTGGACAGATTCATTTATGAAGCAGCGAAGGCCATTAGCGCCACATTTAAAGGAGCTATACCCGTTTCTGCAATGTTTGAATGTTTAGCCCCGCCCCCAACTCGCTCACAGGCTTCTCATTTCCCCTACGCTCTCATAACACGGAGCCATCTAGTTTTATTTGCGATCTGATACGAATGCTAACATTAGCATTAGCGCAACTTGTAAACTGTGCAACAATCACTGATGAAATGGCACTAAAGCAACGCACTGCTAACACAATATACAGTGCCTTGCGAAAGTATTCGGCCCCCTTGAACCTTTCAACATTATGCCACATTTCAGTCTTCAAACATAAAGATATACAATTTTAATTTTTTGTCATGAATCAACAACAAGTGGGACACAATCGTGAAGTGTAACAAAATTTATTGGATAATTTAAACTTTTTTAACAAATAAAAAACTGAAAAGTGGGGCGTGCAATATTATTCGGCCCCTTTACTTTCAGTGCAGCAAACTCACTCCAGAAGTTCAGTGAGGATCTTTGAATTATCCAATGTTGTCCTAAATGACTGATGATGATAAATAGAATGCACCTGTGTGTAATCAAGTCTCCGTATAAATGCACCTGCTCTTTGATAGTCTCAGGGTTCTGTTTAAAGCGCAGAGAGAACCATGAAGACAAAGGAACACACCAGGCAGGTCCGAGATACTGTTGTGGAGAAGTTTAAAGCCGGATTTGGATACAAAAAGATTTCCCAAGCTTTAAACATCTCAAGGAGCACTGTGCAAGCAGTTATATTGAAATGGAAGGAGTATCAAACCACTGCAAATCTACCAAGACCCGGCCGTCCCTCCAAACTTTCATCTCAAACAAGGAGAAGACTGATCAGAGATGCAGCCAAGAGGCCCATGATCACTCTGGATGAACTGCAGATTTTATTTGTTAAAAAAGTTTAAATTATCCAACACATTTCATTCCACTTCACGATTGTGTCCCACTTGTTGTTGATTCATGACAAAAAATTTAAATTGTATATCTTTATGTTTGAAGCCTGAAATGTGGTGAAATGTTGAAAGGTTTCAGGGGGCCGAATACTTTCGCAAGGCACTGTATAAGTAAAAGAATACCATTAATTTCGCGTCCGGATGTATTAATTTAAACATTAGAATATATTCTAATATTTAATTATAATTTATTATACAGCTCCTCACAGCAGCAGCACTCCATTGACTTGAATGTAATTCTTCCGATCATTCTTTGATAACAGAACTCTCAAACCAATAATGACCGCAGCCCCAATGCAATCTCTGTTTGTAATTCAGGTGTGTAAAATACTGCCATTACTTTGCAAGTACAACAAGCTAAAGTATCAGCGCCTGTCACTACATTGTGCAGTTTTTCTGCACACTTGTCTGTGTAGAGAAGCTAGCGGAGCTAGCCACGCTCAATAAACAAATACATATCAATCAATCAACACCATTAAACGTCAATCGGACAATACAGTATACATATACATCCTTAACACACATGCACGGACGATTTCAGAATTTGCTGTCAACGTTTTCATGACAAAAATACTGTTTTAAAGTGACAAAAAGCGATCGCGAAAACCTTTGGGAGCTAACTATTTTATTTGCAGTCATTAAATACATTTCGAATTATAAGGGTTGTCTAATATTTGTTCAAATATGTATATATTTTTTATTTTAGAATTATATTCGAATTTTGAAGTCGAAGCCCTGGTGTTTAGCAGCGCTGAAGAGGCTAGAGGACACAGGCTGTAGAGACTAGAGGACACAGGCTGTAGAGGCTAGAGGACACAGGCTGTAGAGACTAGAGGACCCAGGCTGTAGAGACTAGAGGACACAGGCTGTAGAGCCTAGAGGACACAGGCTGTAGAGACTAGAGGACACAGGCTGTAGAGACTAGAGGACACAGGCTGTAGAGGCTAGAGGACACAGGCTGTAGAGGCTAGAGGACGCAGGCTGTAGAGGCTAGAGGACGCAGGCTGTAGAGGCTAGAGGACACAGGCTGTAGAGACTAGAGGACACAGGCTGTAGAGGCTAGAGGACACAGGCTGTAGAGGCTAGAGGACTCAGGCTGTAGAGACTAGAGGACACAGGCTGTAGAGACTAGAGGACACAGGCTGTAGAGGCTAGAGGACGCAGGCTGTAGAGGCTAGAGGACACAGGCTGTAGAGGCTAGAGGACACAGGCTGTAGAGGCTAGAGGACACAGGCTGTAGAGGCTAGAGGACACAGGCTGTAGAGACTAGAGGACGCAGGCTGTAGAGGCTAGAGGACGCAGGCTGTAGAGACTAGAGGACACAGGCTGTAGAGCAGGGGTGGCCAACCAGTCAGAGACTAAGAGCCAATTTTTTTACTGTGTTACAGCAAAGAGCCACATCATACAAATGTGCACTACATAAACATCACCCCAACCCTTACACACGCACGCACACGGGCACGTACGCACACGAGCAGACACGCGCACACACATGCAATCTGTCTGTGCAGAGAGAGGTGTGCTCTGCTCAGACAGATGTATTGTAAATGTCATCAACATGATAATGACAGAAATTGACTCGTACAGTACTAAAGGGCTGGACTCGACTCTCCCCGGTTTGCGGGCGCTTCTACTGCTCGCTTCAGCCGCTCCCCGGTACTTTTTATTAATGGTTTGGCCCTGGTTCTAACCGGGCGAGTCGATACCAGAACAATTTCACGTCAGCGAACATCAATTATGATTCCGAAATTAATGCTTTCAATCTCTAACCAAGAAAAAAAAATCAAGTTTCAACCCAGTGTTCAGCAGAAACACAACTGTGTCTTTTAGTAAAAGATATAGATTTGACACATAACACCAACACCACTTGAGCTGATTTAGAACCACAGACACATGTTCAGTATAAGACCAGATACTTTTGCATTTGATTGAAGACAGACACTCACCAGGCAGAGTTGGCTTATCTCCTGGTGTAATGCTAGTTGTTGTTAGCTGGTTTTAGCATGTTAGCCGGTGTTAGCCGATGTCCGTAAATGTAATCCATTTGGTCAAACCACCTCCAGACTTTTCGGGTCTGCCTCTACTTCTGCTGCTGCTGCGATCTTTCATTTCACGGTTGTCACTTTTAAGCTTTTTAACTTTTCTCTGCATTGTCATGTTTGTGGGAATCATTCTGCTCCGTCCTTAGTGCTAGCTCCACAAACACCTTCTGGTTTCTGGTGGAACCATCGAGCTCACGCTGGTGTCCTCTCCTCAAACTGAGGAAGGTGTTGCCCTCATCCAGCGACCAAGGAATTCTTTTCCGTACGGACGTCATGGTTCGAGGCAACGTGTTGTTTGTTATGATTTTTGCAACCGCTGAGGCGGCAGCTGCAGAGTGATTGACAATGCATCTGACCAACCAGAATTGACGTTCGCCGACGTCAGATTGTTTTGGTGGCCTGGCTAGTGGAGTGAAGTCGGCCTTTACTATTGGTCAGAACTACATATGGAATGAAAGGCAGCGCCACCACCGAGGCGTTTTTGACGCTTGTCGAGTGAAAGCCCGAGAGCCGCACGGAACCAGCCAAAGAGCCGCATGCGGCTCACGAGCCGCGGGTTGGCCACCCCTGCTGTAGAGGCTAGAGGACGCAGGCTGTAGAGACTAGAGGACGCAGGCTGTAGAGGCTAGAGGACGCAGGCTGTAGAGGCTAGAGGACACAGGCTATAGAGACTAGAGGACGCAGGCTGTAGAGACTAGAGGACACAGGCTATAGAGACTAGAGGACACAGGCTGTAGAGGCTAGAGGACGCAGGCTGTAGAGGCTAGAGGACACAGGCTATAGAGACTAGAGGACGCAGGCTGTAGAGACTAGAGGACACTGACTGTAGAGGCTAGAGGACGCAGGCTGTAGAGGCTAGAGGACACAGGCTGTAGAGGCTAGAGGACGCAGGCTGTAGAGGCTAGAGGACGCAGGCTGTAGAGGCTAGAGAGGACACAGGCTGTAGAGGCTAGAGGACACAGGCTGTAGAGGCTAGAGGACGCAGGCTGTAGAGGCTAGAGGACGCAGGCTGTAGAGGACTAGAGGACACAGGCTGTAGAGCTAGAGGACACAGGCTGTAGAGGCTAGAGGACGCAGGCTGTAGAGGCTAGAGGACGCAGGCTGTAGAGACTAGAGGACGCAGGCTGTAGAGGCTAGAGGACGCAGGCTGTAGAGGCTAGAGGACACAGGCTGTAGAGACTAGAGGACACAGGCTGTAGAGACTAGAGGACACAGGGCTGTAGAGACTAGAGGACACAGGCTGTAGAGACTAGAGGACGCAGGCTGTTCACTGCTCGTTCTGTGAGTGGAGGAGAACGTCCCGCTCAGACTCTACTCAGCACTTTTCACTGCCTGAATTTCATACATAGTGGAATCAATGACCTCAAGTTTTCAATTAAATTATGTATTATGATACAACTTGTATGTAGTAAAAAACATTTTTATGAACTACTTAGAAAAAAAATTGGGTATAGCTTCTTTAAGTTTTTCAGGAAGATAGTCCAATCAGAGAAGAGTGTCTGCCAGTTTCTTTTCTTTTCTTTAGTGAAATCCAGTATTGGTTTTAATATCTAATATTTAATATCTCTATAACCCACACATTGATTGAAAGCAGATACGAAAATACTGTTTTGGTTAGGGTTTGGTATGCATCTGTAATCAGTGCCTGGGATCTACGTGTGCGTGTGCGTGCGCGCGTGTGTGTGTGTGCATGTGTGCGTGTGTGTGTACCTTTCTCAGGTTCTCTGCCCCCTCTTTGATCTTGAGCTCTTTGCGGATCTCCCGTCGGATCTGCTCCTTGATCTCATCCAGCTTTTGTTGGACCATGGTGTCAGACAGATCCAGGTTATGGCCCAAACCAAGACGCTCGGCCACCAGCTGCCCCCGGGAGTCCCCCTGAAGACGGCAAAACACGGATCAGGAATGCATTCAAAATATCTATGAATATGAAATTATGTTATGAGTTTCCGCCTCACTCAGGTCTTGTTTGTTTACAATGGGAATATTCTGAGGGAGCGCAAGTCCCTTTACAAACACGTCTCTCCTGAATTTAGTAAGCACCATTCCTTCAGATGTGGAGGTGAAAGTACAGTAAGAATTTATTTCAAAACAATAAACAAGATACAGGCTGGACGAAGCAGACGCTAGGAGGGCCTGATCTTTCCAGGACCGTCGCGGTTCGGTACGGTTAGGTCCCAGAGACACCCAGAAATGTGCTTGTTTCTCTGGTCGCTTTGAGTTTGGCCAAGAATAAAAAACGATTTGATTTTAAAATTGAGTTGATAGGACACATTGATTTCATATATCAATAAAAAAACATGTCAAATGTCATTGTCAAGAGACTTTTAGCTAAAGATCTGAACCAGCAGAATTCAATTGACTCCATTAGTTTGGAGTTAGTCAGAAGAAAAGTAATCATTCAGCCAACTTCAGCTGCATACAAGTACATGTTCATGTTGTACCTCATGTAGCTTAAACTAATGTCTAAGTTTACATTACTAATGTCATATTGGTGGTTCTAACAACAAAAACAGGTGTATTCTTTATAATATAAGCCAAACATGATATTTTTGTGAAAGAATTGGACAGACTCTTTTTGGGGGTGAATAGTCACGTTTATCCCGAGAAGATCCTGCTGCGTTCAAATACTAAATCCTGAAATTGGCTGATAAATGTACGTACACGTCTCTGTTTGCACTGATTATAAATTGCTAAAGAGAACACATGAAGCATAATATATGAAGCAAGGCCACAAGTGAAAAAACTAAAATCATTGTAAATTCATAGTGCAGTGTGTAGCTCCGAAACAGCTCTGATTTAATGAATATACTTCTTAAATTGAAATCAAATTAATTTAGAAAAGCAGAAATCTACAATCTTTGCTGAGCCTGTTCTCTCGCCCTTTACCGACTTCTTCCTCTCGAGCACTTGCAGCCACTATCCAATGTTTTCACAAATTGCAATATTTCTCAAAACTACAGCTTAAGTTTGGCTGAGCTTTGCCAAACTCCCAAACTCTGAACCCTGTGCTGTCTGCACTCTCGCTCTCGCTAACCTCCTTTAAAGACGTCACTTTTACTAAAGCGGGATTAGAGGCCACTTCCGGAGTGGATTTAAACTGGCCATCGTGGAGACTCAAGAGCTTAGGCTGCGGAGTCAGTCGGCGCCCCATTCAAGAAAAGCAGTCAGGACCAGAAAGATGGATCAGATACAGCAGGAGTCTCCAACCTTTTTCAATCGGAGAGCTACTCTTATAGAAACTAAGAGGCAGAGAGCTTCTCCATTTTGCAGTCGTAATAAAAATCTATCTAATAATTACTATGAAACATGGAGAACACATACAAAATACACCATAATACTGTATAACCCTATATTTATACTTATAATAGATATGTAAGGGCTCAAAAAGTATTTATTCAAGTGTATTTGTTTAATTCTAATTCCTTTGGCGAGCTACCTGTAAGGGGCTGGCGAGCTACTGGTGGCTCCCGAGCTACAGGTTGGAGACCCCCGAGATACACACAAAAACACAACTGGAAAAACGTTTTTTTACTATGCGTCTAATAAACATAGCTGATTGTTTTAAGCTCCACCCATGCTAATATGAACAGCTATAGCATGGCTCGAGACATCCTCAATGACATTAGTTTTTATTAGGGCTGCACGATATGGGAAATTAGTGCTATATTCGATATGAGTGTTTATTATTGTGATACGGATATTATTGTGAATTCTTTCACCTAAAATTATAATCTGTATTGAAACGCAAGAGATAAATAACAAAAAATAAGCACAACATTAATGACATTCAAATGCATATATTTATATAATTTTTTGTTTGTTGTTCTTGTTGAATGTTGATGTGTCTGTTTTGTTGTCTTTAATGAAAGAAAAAAAAGAAAAGAAATTTTGATTTTAAAAACTTTTTTTGAATTTTCGATATGGATATCACACGCACCAATATCGCGATTACAATATTTTTTCAATATATCGTGCAGCCCTAGTTTTAATTATCTGTCATTTTATGTAACTAACTTTTGCTGCCTCTTGTCCAGGACTCCCTTAAAAAGAAGTTAAAGACTTTCCTGGTTAAATAATAATTTTTTTTAAACGCATGACACAAATGCATTCCTTCTGGTGCACTACGACCGATCCTCAAGACTACGGCATTAAACAGTTTTAAAGTATTTAGTAATAATAAGTGTTTACAAATTAATTTTGGGAAATTCTCCAGGTTTAATTGGTTCTTAAAGTTCATTTGCACAGTTTTACTCAAAGAACATGTTGTAATTTTCCCAAATATTATCTAATTTAATCCTTTTACATTCAAACATGAAGTGATTTTTTTATTTTATTTAAAGTATCAAAGGGTGAAAATGAAAACAAAGAATGGATATTTGTTCTTAAAATACTTTTTCTTAAAATAATTTTGCGCATTTTATCAAGTTTACAACCACAAACAAAGATTTTAATTTTTTGGGATTTTTATCTAAAAGACCACAACAAAAGGGAACAAGCAACAGAAGGGAAATCAAAATGATGCTTGATTTTGTTTAAATAAAAAACTGAAAGACCAAGAAAAAAAAAACATACAGGGATTAGAAAAAATGCAAACTATGGAATGAATAAAATAAGTAAGTAAATAAACTTTATTAATACATCACCTTTCACAGACCTGGGTCACAAAGCGCCTCACATAAACAGACATATAAAGGTCAAGGCAACCAAGTAAAATAAATGTGTGCAAAAGACAATGGTAATCACAAAACAATGCCGTCACATCAGTCACTGGACAGATTCATTTATGAAGCAGCGAAGGCCATTAGCGCCACATTTAAAGGAGCTATACCCGTTTCTGCAATGTTTGAATGTTTAGCCCCGCCCCCAACTCGCTCACAGGCTTCTCATTTCCCCTACGCTCTCATAACACGGAGCCATCTAGTTTTATTTGCGATCTGATACGAATGCTAACATTAGCATTAGCGCAACTTGTAAACTGTGCAACAATCACTGATGAAATGGCCACTAAAGCAACGCACTGCTAACACAATATACAGTGCCTTGCGAAAGTATTCGGCCCCCTTGAACCTTTCAACATTATGCCACATTTCAGTCTTCAAACATAAAGATATACAATTTTAATTTTTTGTCATGAATCAACAACAAGTGGGACACAATCGTGAAGTGTAACAAAATTTATTGGATAATTTAAACTTTTTTAACAAATAAAAAACTGAAAAGTGGGGCGTGCAATATTATTCGGCCCCTTTACTTTCAGTGCAGCAAACTCACTCCAGAAGTTCAGTGAGGATCTTTGAATTATCCAATGTTGTCCTAAATGACTGATGATGATAAATAGAATGCACCTGTGTGTAATCAAGTCTCCGTATAAATGCACCTGCTCTTTGATAGTCTCAGGGTTCTGTTTAAAGCGCAGAGAGAACCATGAAGACAAAGGAACACACCAGGCAGGTCCGAGATACTGTTGTGGAGAAGTTTAAAGCCGGATTTGGATACAAAAAGATTTCCCAAGCTTTAAACATCTCAAGGAGCACTGTGCAAGCAGTTATATTGAAATGGAAGGAGTATCAAACCACTGCAAATCTACCAAGACCCGGCCGTCCCTCCAAACTTTCATCTCAAACAAGGAGAAGACTGATCAGAGATGCAGCCAAGAGGCCCATGATCACTCTGGATGAACTGCAGATTTTATTTGTTAAAAAAGTTTAAATTATCCAACACATTTCATTCCACTTCACGATTGTGTCCCACTTGTTGTTGATTCATGACAAAAAATTTAAATTGTATATCTTTATGTTTGAAGCCTGAAATGTGGTGAAATGTTGAAAGGTTTCAGGGGGCCGAATACTTTCGCAAGGCACTGTATAAGTAAAAGAAATACCATTAATTTCGCGTCCGGATGTATTAATTTAAACATTAGAATATATTCTAATATTTAATTATAATTTATTATACAGCTCCTCACAGCAGCAGCACTCCATTGACTTGAATGTAATTCTTCCGATCATTCTTTGATAACAGAACTCTCAAACCAATAATGACCGCAGCCCCAATGCAATCTCTGTTTGTAATTCAGGTGTGTAAAATACTGCCATTACTTTGCAAGTACAACAAGCTATCAGCGCCTGTCACTACATTGTGCAGTTTTTCTGCACACTTGTCTGTGTAGAGAAGCTAGCGGAGCTAGCCACGCTCAATAAACAAATACATATCAATCAATCAACACCATTAAACGTCAATCGGACAATACAGTATACATATACATCCTTAACACACATGCACGGACGATTTCAGAATTTGCTGTCAACGTTTTCATGACAAAAATACTGTTTTAAAGTGACAAAAAGCGATCGCGAAAAACCCGGAAGTTACCATGAAACAGCTAGCTAGCTTAGCTGTTACCTGCCTAGCACGTCCCGGTGAAACCTTTGGGAGCTAACCATTTTATTTGCAGTCATTAAATACATTTCGAATAGAGGTGCAACGGTTCATCACTGATCCGTGATCTGTTCGGTTCAACGTCTTCGGTTCGGTACAGACGTGATCCGCGGTTTGATTTATGAAAAAAAAGTTGTGCGCACGTTGTTCAGTCCACACATACAGCGTGGTCATTGCGAGCGGAGGAACGGAGGAGCTTGAAAGCCCTGCGTCATTTAAATCCCCAGTATGAGAGCATTTTGGCTTCACTGTAACTACACTGATAATTAATATTCGACAAAACTGTCACGATGTGTAAGCACTGTGGCACAAGAAAGACATGAGTGAAAAAAGCGTCTCAACGACCACCTATTGTCGCGGCATTTAAGCAGCTCCTTTACGCACAGTCAGACCGGGCTAAAGTCAACTCTCCCGCGCATCCTCAGCTGCGCTCACGA